AAAAAAAAAAAAAAAAAAAAAAAAAAAAGAAAGAAAGAAAGAAAAAAGAAAGAAAGAAAGAAAGAGGCAGATTTGGGCCATGGTGGATATTTTAGAGATCATGACTAGGGAACAACTCTTAAGAAGTGGCATTTGGTAGATACCAGAATAAAATGAGCACCTAGGTCTTTTAAATCTCCAAAGAAGGCAATTCTCCTTTCAAGCAGCCGAACTTGTACAGGCCCCAGAACCAAGGGAAGGAATGTAGGAGTATAAAATGTGAGATGCAGTTAGCAAAGGAACAAAAGGAAAGGGTAAGAACTTTATAAGAACAAATGATTGTGTCAATAATCCAGAACAGACACTGAGCTTTGACTAGGAACAATTAAGAAGTGGATGACAAGTTAGTGGATTCTGATCAGATTTTAAAAGTGGAACCAGAAAGACTTTCTGGCCAATTGGATATAGAGTATGAAAAAAAGAGAAAATTCAGAACACCAACAAGGACTTTATCCTGAGCAACAGGAGGAAGGAGTTTCCACCATGGGCCTTTTTGGAAAGGGGGGAGATTCTTTATTGGGGAGGAGGAGTAGCAATCAAGGTCCCAGTCTATCCCTGGGGAAAGGGGGTACAATACAGATATCTAGGAGAAACAATTAAAAGTAGTCAAAGATGGCATCTGGGGTTAGAAAGGGAAGGGAGGGCTATAAACAGGGAGATATGAAAGTGCTGCAGGGACAGAGAGGGGCACACAGATGCCTGATGATGTGGAAGAGGACAATGAAGGCCTGAGAAGGAACAGCCCAGAGGGGAGAAGGGGTAGCTGGCCAGAGCCAGGAGAAGGCAGAATTTCTAAGAGGGAGAAATGGCTATCTGTGGCCAGCATTAAGAGTTCCCATGAGATTGGACTGCCTGCTGGTGGAAGTTACTGTTCAGCTCTAAAGGAATAGCTTTGCAGCCTGCTCAGAAGAAAAGTTGCCTGTACAAATACTCACTGCACTGTCTCCATGAGATGCCCCTCTCTGTTTGCCTAACAAGATGTGTCATATGGATCTGCTCTGCTGCCTGTTCACAACTACTGTAGAAGACCATGGTGTGCTGGGGCAGCACAGATGAAAGGAGATGAGTGTTTCAAAGGCAACAACAGAAAGGCTTGGGCTTACTTGGTAAACAAGAGTGTGAAAGTCCAATGGGAATTCTACATAAAGGAAATAACAAATGCACATCTCACAAGACAGTGGACAAGTGTAGCTGAGGAATGAGATGGTGGGGAAGTCCATTAATGAAGGGCTTTGATGTATAGAGTGAGAGAACTTAACAAAGGCTCCCATGAGGGATGACCTGATAATATCTGGGTCATGGCATCGATGGCTGCTAAGAGTTGGATGTGTTTTGTCCTTCACAGTTCATGTTCTAGGTCCTTGGTCCTCATGTGGTAGTCTTAAGTGATAGGAGACCCTATAAGATAAGAGGCCTGGTATAAAACGATTCTTTAGGGGCACAGTCATTGAAAAGGATTAATGTAGTTCTAACAATAAATTGAAAGATCCTACAGAGAGAAACTTTTCTTAAGATTAATATTACACCCTTCCCTGATCTCTGGGTTTCTTTCTGGCTATATGAAAGTGTTGTACATATTGAAAATTTTACTTCTGTTTTTCTCAAATGTTGGGATACAGACAAGGAGCCTTCACTATGAAGGCACTTGATCCTATATTTCTAGGTTCCAAACATGAGAGCTAAACAAACATGTTCTTTATAGCTGTCAAGCCTCAGATATTTTCTTATATCCATAGAAAACAAGATAGTGCAGTGCAACAGAAAAGAGCCCAAGACTTTACCTGAAGAATCCCCAAATGCCCAGGCGATACTGAATGGTCACTACCACCACATTCTCAAGGGCAGTGAGGGCCAGTCCATCATAGGTGGAAGCCCCGCCCATCCACAGACCACCTCCATGGATCCACACCATCACCTGTACGGAAGAAATACAGCAACAATGATTCCAGGAAACAGAATGGGGAAGGACCTCAAAGCATCCCTCACTCTTGGAGGCCATTACTCAAAAACCACCAGTGCCCTCAAGGTTACAAAAGGCACTTTCTCTGTTCCTGTACTCACTGGCTGCATTTCAGGCCATGCCAGGCCTCAATTCAATTCCCACTGGTACTCATGCCAATCTACATGTTCAATGTCCACAAAAGGCCCCTAAATTTGAGAATGTCATCATAGGAGTAGCAAAGGCAAGGAGGTACAGTTATGCTCCACTCTCCTCATCCACACGCCCAGATCATTTGACCACCTAAACATAATCACACAAAACCCTTGCTATTTCGGTTTCATCCTAGTTAATGCTGATGAAATCAAGTTGATGAAATCAATGTCCCTATGTTCTACTATTATCTGAAAACACAATACTACCTCCACTGAGGTTTCCTCCAAAAGTGCCTCCTTACTGCTTTATCTGAAGATCAAATGCTACCCAAGCACTTAAGCCCAGCTCCCAACATCTCCTTCAGAAAGCCTGAAATTATTTGAATAACATTATCTAATAATCTACTATATAAAGGGTATATGATATGCATTGAAGGTGAGAGTTGAAAAAATGTGTAATTCATATTTCTTGCATTGAAAAAGCTTACATTGCAAGTAACTACAGACATTTAACAGAACAATAATTTTATAATTACATTGCTAATTATAGTGCACAGTCAATGCACTATATCCTATTCTACACAGTCAATGCACTACATCCTATTCTAAGCAATATAAAATAGACTATGTATAAGGTAAGCACTAGCAAGTGTACCATTTAAAAGTAAAACTGAGACACCTCTTCCTGAGATTCCACAGCTGAGCAGCCTGGGAAGGAGGAGTAGAGCAGGCTTTCTTGCCCCAGAATTCCTCTGCTCAGCTGCATACTGACCATAGCCCTAGCGACAGCACAGTAAGCCAGCTATAAGGGCAGGAGGGAGATCCTGCTGCTGCTCTGCCTAGTGAGTCATCAGTGCTGGCTGTGCACATTCAGCCAGGACTGACATAAAGCTTCATACTCATCACCAAATACTCATAGGTAATTAATCCATTTGATGAATCAGGACAAGAAAACTACACAAAGTGTCCAAGGCTCTCCGCAAGTCAAAGACAGATCCAGGATTTAAACTCAGACCCTGTAGTTCTAGAACCGGTGTCCATAGCTATGGGTTTCCTCTTTTCAGGTCCCAGGTCTCCTGTTTTGCTTCCACTTTTGAGCCTTGCTTCTCTCCAGGGAAAGGACTAAGTCAAGAAAATCAGGGACTGAATGTGGGGCACCAGGACTGGTAAGAAATTGGATGGTGAAGAGGTTAGGAGGTGTCTGTGCAGCCCAGGCAACAAGACCCATGAAGGCAGGAGTGATGTAATCATGGTACCATGATCTTACCATCCCCAACCCTAAGACTAACTGTGTGTGCTGTGAGGCACAGAGGGCAAATAGCCACATAAATAAATGAGGGAGGTTTCTTTCCAAACTTCTTACACCTTACAGTGTAAGTAGAGGAACAACTTGTAGTCCTAAGATCATATCCTCCCCAACACTTGGCTCTATGCTAGGTGTAAACAGAACATTGACTTGGGGTAGACACGCATCCCCTTACATCCCAGGGATCTACTCTTCCACCTTCCAGTCTTTACCTGCCTACACACCACTGACACTTCACTTGTTTTGCAAAGACTGATTTAATGATTTCATCAAAGAATGATTTAGTTAGGGAGCAAAATGTACTAAAATAAAATCTTAAAAGAGTCATCATCATGCTGCGCTGCTGAAATGCCAGCTACTAAGGAGGCTGAAACAGGAAAATCACAAACTTGAGGACTACTTGAGCAACTTAGAGAGAGGTAATCACAAATGGAACTCGATCTTCAATACCGTAAGGGGAAATGTCTCAAATGTGGGCTAAAAACCAAAGGAAAGAGACTATGGAATTGTTCAGTCTCCATCCAATAACCTTCTATCATAGTACAGGAAAAGCTTTCCAGGGAGGTCATGGTGCACTTAGGAAAACACAAACATGGTTGATTTTCTAGTCCATGCCAAACGTTGATTTCAAAATCAGAACACCTGCGCATTTGTTCTATTGATCAGAATCCCTTTCCTCCTTTGTTTCACTCTCTATTGAAAAGAAAGTTGTCTTATTTGTTTTACTCTAAGATTTCCCCGCTCTAAATGTATTGCACATTGTGTTTGAGTTGTTCTGGGGACCAGCTTCTTAACACAGTAAGAGTAATCCTTTTTCACCTTCACTTAGCATGAGGGAAATTAAAAATTGAAGATATACATGTCAGAAGTAGAGCAGACTTCACCAAAGGCCTGAGATCACTAGAAAAAAATAAGATAAGGAGTATTTGTACTTACTGTGATGAAATGCAGCCTCTGTCTGCCAAAATCAATTATGGGCTTGGTACCCATACCCCGACCTGCCTTCCCCTCCTTCCCATCTGCAGAGCGAAATCCCAGATGCTGGAACTCACAAGTCTCCACCGGTGGTGCCCATACTCACAGGCAGGCTGCTGTTCTTCTTCAAGTCAGCAGGAGTATAAATGTTTAGGTAAAGACAATCTTCAGAAAATGTCAGAGGAATTTTCTCCTTTCTGTTGCTAAATAGCTCTGACATCTGCTTTCCCTGCTCTGCATCTTGGGAGCACCTGGAATGTGAGAGAGACCACATCTGAGCTTCAAGCAGGTGGAAGCTGGAAGTGTCACTCGGGGTGGGACTTTGAACCATGAAGATAATGCCTATAGGTGACATCGCTGCCATTGAACTGGAGTCATTGCAAAGGCTTTGAGTTTGCCTGGTATGCCTATTTGGAACCCAAGGACTCTCTAAAGCAGGGGTGCCCAACCTTTACCTTGTGTGGGCCACATCTAGTAAAAATAAATTGTCTTGACTACCCATAAAGTACAAAATATGGTTAAGGTAAATAAATAACAAAACTTCCTTCATTGGATTTTTATGATAACATTAAGATAAGATGTCAAATAACACATGAAATTAGTGAAATATGTGACTTTCTCCTGTGAGACTATTCCATGAACATCTGGTTCAATGAATGTGGCTTCGATTCTTACTAAGTTCTTGAAGGTCTTGTTAGAAATTTTTTCATCTCATTTTACTCTTCTGTTCCTAATAAATGGAATAAATGGATATTCAAAAATTCCCATACTGCCAAAAATCCATAACATGAATAAAGCTCAACTGTGAAGCAAGAAATATATTTCTCCATCAAGACCAGTCTTACAAGGTTTAGTAAAGAGACACATCCAAGTTTAAGTAAAGTTGAATGTCTGGTTATTATTTAGATCTAAAATGTGCCCCAAGATCTCAAGTGTTCACAGGTGCAGCTTTTCAAAGATGACTCAAACCTGCAGGTGCTACAGCCACTGGTGGATTAATCCACAGATGAATCATTAGCTAAATGTGCTGTTAGAAGGGGCAGCATGCTCAGAAGAGGTCGTTCACTAGGGTAAGACCCGGAATGGTGACCCTGCCTTCCAGCTCCTCCCCACTCTGTCTGCTTCCTGCCCACCATGGCTTGTGCGTCTTTTCCCCACCAGACATTTTCACTATGCTGTTTCTGCCCTTGATCTGGCATGCAGGGACTATAATCCTGGCCAAATCACACTTCTCCTCCTTTTAATAGTATTGAGTATTGTGTGTCATAGAGAGAAATGACTAAGAAACTGCCAAAAAATAATAAACAGATAAACGTTTTTCTAGTATTGGCAATGTTATATATCTAACTATAGCAATATCATGAATAAAAAGCTATTTGATATATTTGTTGTATTTCTTTTTTCTCTCTCTCTCTTTGAGTTTATTCGTACATTTTAGGTATAAAACACAGTTACATTCATTATTGGGATCCTGTACCTTTATATGACAGATCTTGGTTCTCATTTTTTCCCCTTGTCCCTGCCCTCCTTTCATCCCCTCCTCCCCTCCCCATTTACAAACACTTTATTTCCATTTTTTTATTTTCTCATATTTTTTTCTTTTCCCTTATTCCTTATCCCCTACCCTTCCCACTTTCCCTACACCTTTAGCCCTTTTCTTTCTATTTCACATTTGTCTGGTGTGAAAATAGTGCATAAAATCCTAGTGATGTAATTGACCATATTTGTTGTATATCTTATGCCATTGCTAATAAAAACAATTTCACTTATTAGATTATTTCACCAAATAATACAATAAGCCCAAGTTTAAAAATTAAATGGAAAACATATGTGTGCTTCATAAGAGTAAAACACTGTCTTCAAAAGTAGACACATGTTAGTGCGTGGAAAAACTATTACCAATAATGCTGGATTTCACTCAGCAAGTCAACAAAACCCAGGTAATGACTGATATGTCTCAGTTTTAACTGGACTGACTGTATAGCAGGGAGATGAAAAACTCAGTTCTACACCCTCCCTAGTTTTCTATTGTGACCTGTGTAGTCTGCACTGAAGCTTCTGCCAATGCAGTCATGAATATATTACTAAAAATCACATAATAATATTAAAATTTTCCTGTCCAGGGAGCCACATTAGTAGCCATCCAGAGCCACATGAGGCCATAGACCAGATGTTGGATACCCTTGTTCTAGAGTCTCCTAGACCATATAAACGAGAAGTTGGCACCTCTCATTCTTGGCATCTTTGCAATATCCTGGACCAACGAGAGGAGACTGCCCGTGCACTAACCAACCGGCCAAGGTAGATGGTGTTTCCCATCTCTGCTCTCTGCTTGGCTTTCTAATGTGGTTGGCAGGGTGACCACATTCCTTCTCCAGATAACCATGTTCTAATCCCTGTGTTTGTGGCATGGAGTGGGGCAGGGGAGTATTTCAACAGAACTCCCCAAATGGCTGACTCACTCATAGACTGAAGCTGGTTATGGGGACATCTTTGTGGGACAACAGAAGCAAATCCCTTCCAGTGCTAAATCAACCATGGACATGCTGGTGAATATTGGGTGAATTCTGTTCTTTTTCCTGGGCCCCCATCTGCCAGGTCCATGTGTCAGGTGCTTTCTCTAAGGATCTTGCAGCCCAAGCATGTGACAATGGTATCATCAGCCTTTCCCTGGCAATCACCGTCAGCTGCCCTAATGCCAGGTCTCAACAATGCAGCAGAACTTAGAATATATAACAAATTCTGAATACTCCCAGTATACCACGCACTGATAGAAAAATCTCCTTAGGAACAACTCACTGAGGCCTCAGATTGACTTCATACATGGTTTCTACAATTATCACTGTTTTACAGGTGAAATAACTGAGGCACTGAGAGATTAAAGAGCCTAGCCAAGGGCAACCAAGAAGACTTATGCTATGAATATGTCCAAGCACATTAAAGCAACATTCCCAGGTGGCAGCGAAATAGGTGATAGGCATTGTTGCTCCAGGACACAGAAGAATTAATTGAAGCTATCAGGTGCCAGGATGACAGCTGTTAAGTGGCAGAGGTGGAGACAGCAGACGTGACTTCTACATTTCCATGCCGGGAATTTCCCATGTAGCATGAAGACTCAGGGGGACATAATATTCTTTGAAAATGAAATTCAAATGGCCAAGCAGGAAAAAAGAATTCAACTTCACTGATATTTACGTAATTCCCAAATAAAAAGTAAAATTATATTTATGGTTATTGTATTACTTTGTCTGTACAATAGCCAAAAGTCATTCTTTTAATAAACTCAAATATCACCAGGTCCTGTAAATGTAAGTTTTCATATAAGGATTAAATGAGTGTACACAGTTGAACTATGGAGGAAAATTTCATGAAAATGAAATGTCATTTCTTAGAATTTATCATGTAATATCCATGATGTGTATGCTGATTTAGCTAAAATTGTTCAACATAGCTTTGTTTAAAAATGGGAAGAACTATAGTTAAGGATGGGTGGAGGTGTTGTAGGGAGGGAAGAGGATAGGAAAAACTATAAAATAAAAGATGTGTCATGTACAGGTACAAATTTCCTGTGATGAATGTGGTCATTATATATACCTAAAATATACCAATAAACTTAATTAATTTTTTTAAATGAGCAGAATTTTTAGAGCTACTAAATGACCCTAAATAATATTTTGGCCAATATTCATAAATAAATTTCAATACCTACACTAATGAAATCATTAAAGATCAGGCTGTGATGTTTAATGGCACAGGATGATGTTGCTGTAACACTGATCAGAGACAAGGTAGTGATCCAAACTCTAAGCACAACCCATTTTCAAAGGAGGACGAAGTACAAAAGACTGGGAAATATAATCCCAAGTACTAACAGCAATTACCCTCTGGTGGTGGACTTGTACACAGCTTTATTTCTTTCACATTTGCTTCTCTAAGTTATCCAGCTTTTCTGCAATATCATTGCACTATTTTTATAATCAAGAAGTAAGAACAATGTATATTATCTTTAAGAGAAGGGACTGCAGCCAGAAGCATGACCCAGGGAGTCTGTAGAGGTAGACTTCTGTGAGGAAAAATTCCTGAACTGACATTGTTTGTGTCTGGATTGCTCTGGGAGTAGCTGAGAGGCTGTTTGGACAGGTTGGGCTTCTCCCCTCAGCGAGTCACTGTGTCTAGGAACTGAGACCCAGCTGGGAGCTTGACCTGGACAAGGGAACACTCCATTATTTCCTACCAAAACATGGCTCCTCGCCTACCCAACCCTGGCCATACCAAGGCTCGAGACAGGAGAACAGACAGCATCATTACTTTTCCTCTTCCTCGGGGCTTGGGGGAGAGGCTGCTTACTTTCAACACCTTAGCATAATCTTTCATAGTAGACTTTCCTAGTATTAATACAGGTAGTACTATACTGTTCATTATCTCTTTCCCCTGGTAGGATGCAAAATAAATATCATATAATAGAGTAGAGAGCTCTGCTTTGTTGGTGGATTCTCAGCACTTAGATCATGCCTAGGATGTATCAGGTGCTCAATAAATATGTGCTGAATAGAAGCCTCTAGAAAGCGGTTATATTGTCAGAATGTTTTCAAGAGTCTACGGTATTCCAGAGAATTTCAAAGAAAATACAAACCAATTAAAGGGTTGTCCTCACTCTTTCCTGTCTCATTCTCAGGAAAAAAAAATATCACTAAGACATGCCAAGTTCACCACACCAGCTTACATGGGAGGGTAAGAGGTGGTGTTCTTCACATCATCCCATGGTTCCGCAGGCTGTGGAGGAGCAAACCTCAGGGATCCGAGAGGGGGTTTGGCAAAAGGGACTCCCAGGAAAATGGCCACAGTCTGTGCAACTCCTTCCAGGCTGACATACTTTCCAAGGACTTTTCCATGCACAGTGTCCACCACAGGTGACAAAGGTGGGTGTTCTGCTGGATGAGAAGAGGAAAGAAGAATCCATCAGAAGATGAAGGTGATTAAACGCACATCAGTTTCTAGGCATGTGATCTCCAATAAGTCACCTCAACCCTCTAGGCTTCAGTTTCTTAGGTGAAATATGAATGAGAAACAATATCCTTCCTACCACTGAGGGTTAATTTCATGAATGAATTGGCAAGGGAAATATAAAGGTATCCAGGCTCAAACAAAAATAAAAAGGGGAAGTGCCGCCTGGAGTGAAAAAGTTCTTAGCTTTCCCGTCCACGAGCTTCTGTGTGCAGGTGTGCATTAGGGCTGCATACTAGATGAGAAGATGACAAACGGTGACCCAAGTGCTGTAGAGGGCTGACCTGCGGGGAGAGGTGATCCCAAACATAAAGTACTAGATCTAAAGCCTGGAAGCAGGAGCTTCTGTCCTTCTAGAAACAGAAAGGTGCTAGAGAAGTTGGAGGAGGTGGTGAAGGCTTCTGATTACTGTTATCATAGAGGAGCTGAACTTGCAGCAGGAGTAAGAGTGAATAAGGAACGGTGGGAGGAGAGTTAATGTAGAAAGAAGAGGATGTGAAGAGGTACAAAGATAGCAAACCCAGGACCAGACTGGGAAAGAGCAAGTGACTCTTGAAGACGACCAGATGGAGTCCATGGGGAGAGGAAGATAATCCTGAAATGAAGAGGTGCCTGTTGGATTGAGCCTTAAATGCCAGTCCAAATATCGTGTTTTTGCTTGTTTGGCCAGTAAGAAGCAGGACACGATGAGCTTCTAGAATGCTCTGGTGGTTCTGAGCATTGCTATCCAGGGAGGAGAGAGACTGGGTGTCAATTTTCTGCCTGGAATGTTCACTCTGTTTGTGGGGAGCAGATAATTACTTTTCATCTCTCTGTAGTTTTCTCAGCAGTCATGCTTCCCCATGCTTTGGGGGCCAGAGCAAATTAACCTGATCATCCTAAAAGAGGAAGGTAAACTTTGAGACTCCTGATCATGACTACCCACGGACCTTCTTTTACCTTGCCTTTTTAACCTTAGTATATCGAAGCACTGCACATAAGGCATGATTTATATGCATTCATCCACCTGCTGTGCTCCCCTTTAGAATAATAATGCTGTATATCACCATTTCCTTAAAAATGAGTGGTCAGGAAAGAAAAGAATTTTTTAAAAAAAGGAAAGAAAAGAATAATCCAGATTTGTCCTGATAAAGGAATAGTCAATGAGATTGAGAACTCTATTGTGAAACAGGTCACAAACAATATATGCATCATTATCAATGCAGACATTCCTCATTTAACTACCTACCTGTTTCATAAATGTGCTGACTTCATGTGCGCTGTTCCAATTTACAACCCACTGCTCTGACTTATGTCTTTTTTTGTAGAGTTTTGTACATCTTGTTTATAGAGCTTCAATATCTTTTTTGTACACTACCTTTTTATACAGTACTATAATTTTAGCTGATTGGATTATACAGTGCTAGAGTAGCATGTTCTGCTATACATTGCAATGTGTGAGTTATGCAAATAAAAGGAAAGTTATGAAGTTGAAGTTTCCACTGACCGTTTCTTTGTTCTAAATATTATGTACAACTCTTTATTTAACAACCAACTCATGTAAGGACCTTGTTGCTAGACTACAACTTGAAGAATGTCTGTAGTTATTCCCATAATGTGAACAGTTAGTCTGTTGTTGCTGTTTTTGTTCTTGTCATTGTGGTGTCGCATTGCTAATTGTGACAAATAACAGCAAGATAAAATATCAGGAGATACCTAGAGAGTGCCTCCAACTTACAGTGCTTTAATTTATGATTTTTTAACTTTTAAAAAATAATTTTATCAAGACATTTGTTTATTGTAAGTTAAGGAACATTTGTATTGTGAAAAATAGTCAATAACTAGAAACTCTTTATGGAAACCAGTATACAAACACATATCCATACCTCATTTTATTAAAAGCATTTTCTATAGTTGTTTCCTTTTGTACTTATTGCTAATTATTACCAGTCAGGATGCCCTTGGGATTTCATAGTGGAGGTGGCTTTATTTTTTATTCATTTCAAGATTTCTGCACTAAGGTAGATCTATTTTAGTAATAATGAAGAGATAGCAAGATGCAAATGAGGAATTGTGAAGAAAGACTTGGTCCTCCTTGCCAGATGGGGGACTGCTGAAGTGAAAGAAGACTGAATAACAGATATGTAATGCTAGCTCCATTTTAGATAGGGGGAGTCCAGTGAGAATGCTGTTAAGAAGATTCCATAGGATGAATCTTGCACCCCAGGACTGGAAAGAGCTGGTAAAGGGCAAATACAGTCATCTTCCCGAAGGTGAGGGTGCACAGCATGGGTATGTGACTTCACTGCAGACCCATGTAAGAGAACAGAACAAGCACAGACAATGACACATCTGAGACTAAGCGCACCCACCAGAGTGGTGGCAAAAGAAGGCCAGAGTGTCGAGGCAGCCCAGGGAAAAGAGAAGGCGGTTGGCAGGAGTGCTGAGTGCTCCCAAGAGGTGAAGGAGAGTAAAGTGTGAACAGAAATGACTTGTTCCCAGTGTTAGCTCAGTGATGACTTCAACCCAGATGAAGTGGGTAGAAGTCAGACTGCCAAGCATAAAAAGGTGGTATACGAGGGTGGGTGGTATAAAAAAAGTACTGTAAAGCAGTAATCTAATCACTGATAAATTATATGGAATGTAAACATATGGAGCACTTACTGTGTGTGCCCCATACTCATCCAGTTCCTCAGGGAAGCCTTGGTGTGTTTGTTAGTGTTAATATGTCCAATTAACAGATAGCCAAACAGGATTTGAAAGCACCCCATGTGGATCTTCTAAATGTCAATGGATGACAACACCAAACCCTAGAAGTGAAGGAATGCTGCATTCTAATTTTGAGTCCTTTCTTGCTCTGCCTTTCACTAGCTCCAAGCCTACGACATATCACACGGCCAAAGAGACGGTAAAATCCAGACAGGGCCTGCAGTGTCAGGTACTGAAATACAAGTACTGGCTCTGGATTCAGGAGGCAAAATTAGACCCTGTCTTGCTTTTCCAGGTAGGAGATTACATATCTCCTAAGTCTTAGTTCCTCTGTCCACCATGTGGCATAGATTTTTGTTGAGGTCACTCATTGCATAACTGTTTCAACATGGATGTTTTGTGTATCTGATGATTTGAAATGTGAGGCTTTGATGACAGTGGAGACACTTTCACTCCTTAGTGCCAAGTAATCCAGAGTCTACATCTTCATTTTTAGTGTCTCATACCCTAAAACACCATTCACCTGCCCTAATGTCCTAGAGCAATGCTGCAGAACACCAGAACACAGGCCCTATGCCCCTAAACCCAAGAGGCCAATCATATACCATCTTCCCCTCCTTCCTCTCTTCCATTTAGGGAAAAATCACAGTGAAGTCCCATGTCCATAGTACACCCTCTCCTTCTGTCTCCTGACTGAGTTGGCTGCTTGCCCTTGTGCCACTACCACAATGATGAGGGTCATCCTTGGGAACTCTTAATAGCAAATCACATTTTCAGAGCCATCAGGCCCTGATTGGTAAATCTGACCATATATTAAATCTCCTATTAATACACTACAGTTTAAATCAAGTCCTTATTTATTTATCCCTTTCCCTTACTTCCTCTTAAGCAAATTCTATGCTAAGTGCTTTGGAAACAGCCACCCATTTCATCCTCACAAGAGCTCACTACATAGGTACTTATTGTCATTCCTTTTTAGAAATTGGAGAACCCAAGCAAAGCACACACAAATACCTTACAAAGGACACCCGGCCCAGAAGCGCTAGAATGAGATTAAGGTCTCCACTCTGGCTTCTGAGTCTATACTTTTATTATTTTGCTAGGCCACCCTTCATGATCTGCACAGATCAGGATTATGAACCAAAGGGAAGATAAAGTGAATTCTCTGAAATCTCTATATAAAAGGCATGGATTTAGCTTTTGCTAAATTTAGCTCTCCTGTGCCTGGTGCCTACAGTTGGGGTCTCTGGGTATTTATCCTCTTCTTTTCTTGCCAGAGCCTTGTCTGCAGAAGCTCAGTTACTCAAAGTTCAATTCCAAATACAGAGAGGAAAAACTACTGTACAACAGGACTTGTTCCCATTCCTTTGTCCTACACATGCACGCTTGCCAACTTCTTTCTAGGACAAGGATATCCAATTCATACCAATGATATTTGTATTTCAAAAAAAACTCACCACAGGCTGTAGAAGCAACAAAAGAAGCCAATATCACTGAATAAAGAAGCCACATTATGGGAAGACAGCAGCTCCTGTGCCAGTGAGGTCTCTGTGCTGCTCAGAGAAAAATGCATGGCCCTGCCCCACACTGCAGATCCCACCCCCATGCCTGCCAGATCTCAATTATCCAATTAATTACACACCCTAAACCAACAGGAAAAGCTGTCTCTCTTCCAAAAGATCTCCCCATGTGTCCCTGGGGTCATCAAACCACACATACCAGGACTTTACCCTCTTCTATGTGAATAGTCCTTATCCAAATACCAGACTACAGAGAGTCACAAATTCACAAAACAGTTTCTTGTAAAAGATTTCTCCCATGTGGGACTATAACTTTAGGGCAATATAAGCTTCCCAAAGGTAGTACAGTGAACAGATACCTGAGGTGGTCCAAAGATTTGGTTTGGGATCTATGAAAATAGCTGGTAAACTTTAAAGCCTTTCATAGCACTGGAGATGCCAACTAGATTTTGAGGGCACATCTTTTAGCTTCCCTGGACTTCTATCTCATAGAGGTCTAGGTTCTCAAGTTCAGAAGCAAACTTACACTTCATCCAGTCCTCTTGTGAGGCCTTACTTAGCTTTACAATATTCCTGCCATATTGACTGACTGTTACAGCACACCTTCAGGTCCAGGGAATGCAGTACTTTTTGGACAAAATGCTCTTATTTTTCTATTTATTCTTCAAATATTTGGCAAAATTCTCGGCCCTTACACAGGTGATGTGTACATAAAAATAAATTCAAGACTCAAAGACCTCTCTGTAATCAACAAGACAAATGGGGTTGTGAGTACAATTTACTCTGGGTGCACCTGTGAAATTTTGTTTACAAAGTGCTTGGGACATAAGAAAGCCACTGTAGATCACTCTCATAGGATCGTTTAATGTGCAACAAAAGGGATTTATATAAATGCACTCTGGTACAGCTGGCTAAGCATGAAAGAAGAACTGAGCATTTTGCTAGACCTATGTGACTATACTGACTATATTCTTAACCACCTGTTCTGGTGTTAAATATTTTGACAAGCCAATTTTCTGGTTATACTTGCTTGACCTCAAGAAAATCAGTATAGAAATTTGTCTTTTGGGATCTCATATACCTCTGCCCATTTTAAATACCTGAATATCCAACTGATTCCTAATGGATCCTTGAGGCTGCCAGAAACAATGGGGACTGGTTACCATTTGTGACTATTCAGAAAGGAAACCATTTGTTGACACAAAAGCCCTAGAGTTCTTGGGAGGGGCAGTGATTGAGTGGGAGCAATGATTACTGACCACTTGAACTTTATACTTTTCCACTTTGTGTGTAGACTTCTTGCTGGGAAAACATTGCCCTTCCAGGAATCACATGGCCCTATGCAACTGGTATTTACTTGAAATCATGAGTCGAGCAACTACTAATAGAGTAATAGTGACATCTGGCAGTATTATCTCCAGGCTGGCACAATAAGGACACACCAGAACCTTTTCAGGTGTTCTTTTCCCTGCAACCAGCTGGATGCAAAGCTGGAAATTGCTAGGGCAGTAGTGGCAAAACTATGGCATGCATGTTATTTGATTTTCTTTTAAGACAAGAGATGCTAATGTATGAGTTCTTGTTTCTAAATTTAAACATCAGTATTCAGGTTTAATTGCAGTGCTGGTGCTTTGCAACAAATAAATGGGTTTTAGGTTACAGTTTGAGCACTCATTCTAAAAGGTTCGCCATCACTGCTCTAGAGAACCAGGAATTTTGAAGACTACAGGTCCCTCCTGTGTTCTTAGATAACAGCTGTTTTCTGATCTGCAAAAGGGCTTTGGATTTTATTTCAGCAAGAAATAAATTTCTATTTGTTTTAGTCAATTTACAGATTTAGGAAGAGGACTATGACAAATATAGGCAGATTGTAAATAATTTTTAGTGACTTACATTTGGATACAATCAGTTTGGTCTCTATTCTTTCCCCTGAGCAAGTATGTACATAGTTACTCACATATCATTTTCAGTAAAATCAGAACAAATGTTGACTAGTTACTTTTCACATAGATAGGACAAAAATACATGAAACCCATAAGTTAAAGTAGGAAGGGTTTATTTTAGATGACCATCTGTAGCTGTTTCAGTCTACTGACCACTAGTTCCAAGGCAGGACAACATGGTAAAGGGGCATGGCAAAAAAGAAACAATTCATGGCATTTCAGGCAGGAGCACCAAAGCAGTGAGCCTTTCTTTCCCTTTATATTCCATCCAGGCTACAAGCCTATTGGTTGGAGCCACCCACACCCAGGATGGGCCTTCCCATTATCCATACCCAGAATTATGTTAAACCAATCAGTTGGCTAACCCAGTTGTCACATTTTTAATGCAGTGTCACATACCCATGACCCAGCCACTCCAAAAATCTCCATCTATGTGAGCATGAGGTATTGATTGGTAGGACATCTAGGTAGTATAAGCCATACAGATGCCATCAATGCCTGGCCATTTTTCCCTAAACCTTATAACCCCAGTGCTCTCTGACTACTTCCAACTTCCAAGACCTTTCTAATTGAGGGAATTCCCTGAAGAAAAGCCATATTATACATTGGAGAGCAGAATTTAGGGAATTTACAATGCTCTCATCCCCTGGAGTAGCTCTCAATGATTGACTGGACCTAGTGTGCAAAACCACAGGTCCCTCAGCTCTTTGAGGGGCTACCTTTGAAGTCAATATTCAATTCCCACAATTTTCTCCTGGTATTAAATTTCAGTCACTGCAGTGGTGATCACCTGCAATATAAATCTTTCATTGGCTGTTTTATCTTCACTTTCTCTCATTGTCATTCCCACCACTGTTTCTTGCATCTGCCAAATTTACTCTTACACTGCAATAATTGTCTCAGGTCTCCTTCCTGAGAAACCAAAGTAAGGCAATTATTTAAGTCTTAGCTCCTTAGTTCATATATACTGATCTGAGTTGAATTGTGTACCACTAGAATTCATATGTTGAAACTATCACTAGGACCTCAGAATGTGACTACATTTGCATACAGAACCTTTAGACAAGTGACTGAACTAAAATTAAACCATTAAAGTGGACTCTAACAAATTTTGTGTCATCAAAAGAGAGGAAATGTGGTTGTAGACACAGATGCCATGGGCATATGTGCACTGACACTGCACCTTTAATAGAAGTAAAAGTGACCAACCTTCTGCAAGCCAAAGATGAAGGCCTCAGAGTAAGCCAATCCTTCTGGCACCTTGCCCTGGGCTTCAAGCCTCTCAACCATGGGAAAAGAAATTTTTGTCTTTAAGCCACAGTCTGTGATTCATTGCTATGGCAGCAAAAACAGAGTAATACATGAACCCAACCCACTTGTTTTATTCTTACCCAGAGGAAACTAAAGCCAAGATATGAGTTTGGTTTACCTAAGGAAACAATGATAATGGGAGGAAAAGAATTTGAGGATTTCAACTTCTACATCACAGTAACTGACAGATATTTCTCTGACTTAATACATCACAGAGGTACTCTGACTGTACTCAAGACAAAATACCTTGATTTTGTAAGCAATTGCATTTTCAGTTCTTTAGGCTAGGGTGAAGAGTTGAGGAATGAAGGAGTAAGAGAGGCCAGAGGGGGAGGCAGGTAACTGAGAAAATGGGTTCTGTTTTCCCAAGTTCACTGGGCAAGCCTCTGCATCTGGCCTCCATTTGTCCAGGAATTATTGAGCACATCATGCCATGAGACAGTGATTACAAAGGTCCCTTTTGAAGCCAGAAGGAAAGAGTAGATAAGAATGTCCTTCAAGGGAACAAGGAGGTTTGAAAATCCACCTTTCACAAATTGGATTTCCAGTCAAAAACTGTTACAGAAAATCATTTTTATAATGAGTAGGAGCCCAGCTTGTACCATGAGAGAATGGGAAGGAAGGAGCCTGTAAGCATCAAGGGGTGTTACTGGACTTTCACCATGACATTTATGCTCCAGGTAGTAGATCTCCCTTGGTCTCATTATTCTGTCTCTGGGACCCCATGCAGGATTTTCCCTGCAAAGTCTCTGTTTTCTTCTTCAAGTTTCAATAAAACTAAACCCTCTTGGTTTGTTCTGGCTGTTGTCAGCAATGACATGATAGGAGAGCATCTTCTATATCAAGCCCCATCAAGTCACTCTGCACTTGACTCCTAATTGGTTTGCAAAATGCAGACTGTTGATGCTTCTGCCCAAGAAGAGACTGTGCATAGTGAATAGGAAAATGTTAGGACTTTTCTGAGGCTAGCATTAGCACTGGAATGCCAAAGCAGCAGCTCATCTCAAACTCAGTTCATCTCATTTCAAACATGGAGTTCACATGGAAAGGGGCTTCTAGCTGAGAAGGGTTCAGGCAAAGGGCACAGATTCTATCTCTAGTGATAGGCAGTGGATGCTACCGCATAACATTCATTAGCTCTCTTAAGATGCCCAGCGTTCATCCCATAAGCAGAATGACTCAGCCAGGAAGGTACTACATTTTCCTGTCACCATGGTTCAAATGGGCAATTTTTTGGCTAGAGCAAGCTAGGTCTTTGTCACAGCTTGATGTTTCTTGGGTACCTGGCTGGAAACTGGCTTCTGTTTCAGCCTTTGCTGGGATGGTGATGGAAGCACCCCTGTATATATAGTAGCTACCAGCCAGGCAATATATCTCCCCATTCCAACCCGCCATGTTATAGCAAAAGGGAATTTTTAGGTAGACAGACCCATTTCTAAGAAAAATTACTAAATTGGACAACTATGGGTTAACCATATTATTAAGTAACTATGGGTTAACTAGGTAACTATGCACTTTGTAGAATGTACCTGAGTGGCCATGACAACTTCTGTAACTTGTCACCACAGAAACATAACGAACTCAGAAAGTCCTGCTAGAACTCTTTGCTCTGCCCCTCCTCCACTGCTCTGCTTTGTGTAAACTCTGCTTCTGCTTCTGTACCTCCTGCCTGCAACCCTATAAAAAGCTGCCAGCCCACCAATATTCTGGGCCTGACTTCTTTGGGAATGATCCCAGTCAGGTCCATCGATGCAGTAAGAGTTGTACACTGCCCCCTGCCTTCCTGAGTGTCAATTTGCTAA